GACAACATTCAGCATTGTCTTGTAAGGCATCTGCCTCAGACAATGTCCCAGGCAATGACTCGGACAAAAGCTCTTCAGAAGTTAATCTCATCAAATGGGGGTGGAAGGGCTAATGGTTTTACTGGAGAGGGTGGTTAGCAGACAAAGATGGAATAATCTCTTCAGATGAGAGTGAGAGGGCTGGTTTTGTAGGCTGGAGTGATTCAATGGAATTCAGGGGCTCAATATACCCAGCTTCCTGATTATCTACCCATATATCCCCATCCCAAGTTTCAGGATCCCATTTCTTCCCAATCAATGCCCTCACTTTAACTTCGGACACCATTCAAGTTTGGGAATTCAGTCGGCGTTGTAATTCAGCTACTCTCATGGTAAGACTCTAGGTTGGTGTCATGGTTTGAATTGTGTCCCGAAAAAAATGTGTGTGTCAATTTGGCTGGGCCATGATTCCCAGAATTGTGTGGTTGGCCTCCATTTTGTGACTGTAATTTTATGTTAAAGAGGATTAGGGTGGGATTGTAACACCACCTTTACCCAGGTCACATCCCGGATCTGATGTAAAGGGAGTTTCCCTGGGGTGCGGCCTGCACCACTTTTATCTCTCAAGAGATAAAAGGAAAGGGAAGCAAGCAGAGAGTTGGGGGACCTCATACCATCAAGAAAGCAGTGCTGGGAGAAGAGCGCGTCCTCTGGACCAGGGTCCCTGCACAGAGAAGCTCCTAGTCTGGGGGAACACTGAAGAGAAGAAGGCCGACAGAGAGAAAAAGCCTTCCCCTGGAGCTGACGCCCTGAATTTGGACTTTTAGCCTACTTTAACTGTGAGGAAATAAATTTCTCTTTGTTAAAGCCATCCACTTGTGGTATTTCTGTTACAGCAGCACTAGATGACTTAGACAGTTGGGTTTTCAGCAATATCAGCTCTGTTACTACAAGAAATAAGGCTTTCTTTCAAGGCACAAGTGGAAACTTGGAGGTCGTTTATGCAGTTGAGCTTTGACTCTGAAGCCCTGAGCTCATTTCTTTCACCACTTTTTCTAGCAACAGTAGGACCAACCAACTTCCTTATTCTGACAAAACTGTAGAAAGGTGTCAAACATGCGATCACCCAGAACCTCAACTCTCACCAATAACTGATCTATTGGTGGTGATACTTTTTGTATTTCTATTGCCACCTCACGCCATGGATTAGCAGTGCCCTCTTTACTACTGGAAGCAGAGTCATCAACATTTTTAAGACTAACCAGACTTGAGAATCAATTTAGAAAATTCATTCTTAGAATTTTGTTTCTCTAGACCCCAGTCCCGGTACCAAATGTCTTAGGCTGGGTTCTCTAGAGAAGCGAAACCAGTGAAGAGTCTATATATATATATATTCAGATGTATATATAGAGAGAGAGAGAGAGAGAGAGAAATTTGTATCAAGGAAATGGCTCACGTGGTTGTAGAGGCTGGAAAATTCCAAGTCTATGGGTCAGACTGGAGGCTTTTCTTGACTCACACAGCTGCAGGGGCTGACGAACCCAAGATTGGCAGGTCAGACAACAGGCCTCTGGATCACAGGCTGTGGAGGCCAATAAATCCCAAGATTGGCAGGCTGCTGGCTCACAGACTGCAGATGCTGATGAATTCCAACATCGGCATGTAAGCTCCTAGCTCAAGTCCCAAGAACCGGCGGTCAGATGAACAGGAGCCAGCTGCAGGATCCAGGGTTAGCAAAAGCCCACAAGCCTTGCCAGAACATCTACCTATATTGGACTGAGGCCATACCCCCAAGGAAACTCCCTTTCTACTGATTGGCTACTCACAGCAGATCCCAGCATGGGGCTGATCACATTATATCCGATCGCATCATAGAGGTGATTACATCATTATATGACGGCCAAATTATATCGTAACAACCAAACCACTGAGAATCATGGCCCTAAGTTGATACACAACCTTAACAATCACAAACTCTATGGGTTGAAGTAACTTTCCAACTCCAGGCTCTACTTTACCAAAAAAAAATATGAGTAAGAAGGGAAAGACAGTGATTTATTGCTGGTTCATAGCAATTAAAGTTGGCAATGCCAGGACTAGTACTTTGAAATGTTCCTTTGACATTCTGAAGGTTTCACAGCTGGCAATGTATGATAACATTAAGAATGTTGAGAGGTATGTCTTTCTTTTGAAAAGCAGAAAAGAGGTAATTATAAAAGAGGATATTAGGGAGGATCACAGGGTTATTCTCAGGCAGATCAGTTTTAGAACAAAAACATAAATTTAAGGACCTGGAAATAGATTGACTTAAAATCCTCTGTGCCTACACAACCCTTGGACACTCTTCAGGAACCACCCTCCCCAGCTCCATGGTACATACACTTCAGTTTGGAGACTATGAACTTAACTTGATAAAATTACTTTACTGAAAACTTTAGCTTAACTTCCTACAGAAGTTTCAGTAATGTGATCTCTTTGTACTGAAAATTAAAAAGGAATATAATCCATGTGTTGATTGTAACAAGATGCAATTGGATTTTAAACCAAGGTATAAAGTTAAATTATGAAATTGTGTAGTCATATATTTAAATATTATCAGAGGTTTCCAGTATGGTGGATTAAGTAATGAGACTCAACCTTCTTTAGGAAAGTCAGAGAAAAATATTTTAAAAATCTGCATGAGAAAGCTTATAAGGAAATAACAATTACTTAGCCTTGATCTAAGAAAACATACAAATCCCAAGAGATGAGGGCAGCATCTGAGGCCACTTGTCCTCCCGGAGGCATTTGCAGATTCTGAAGTATGACTTTCAGCAGCCCTGCGAGGCTCGGTGCCACTATGTGAATACAGGGCCTCGATGAGGTAGGAGCCGTGGTGCGCCCTGCAAGCTTTGCTTGGGGACACAAACGTCCACATCCTAGCAGTAACTAACATTGGTGAGATAAATAACATCCAAATAGATGGAGGAATATGCCAGGTTCATGGAGTGAAGATTCACAAACTTTGGCAGCCAGGGGTTACTAGCATCAGTCAGGAATGATTCTCTCCTAAGACTTCCATGGACACTTACATGGTCTCAGGACTAAAGAATATTCAGTATGACACCATTTTATCTGATTTCATCTTGCTTGAAAAATGGTGGACACAAGATAAGAAACGTCACCTCCTGTCTCTGCTCTCTGGAGCTGATTACCACTAGCTGATGCCTCATGGAACAGAACCTTTTACCGCAGAGATTCTTAAGGGTTCCTTTGCCCTCCTACAAAAAAGATAATTTCTGGTGGTCTCTGAGATTCTGTTAGATATTTAAAACACACACACACAAGAACTAATCTACTATCATTATTGAAGGTGGGTTTATGCATGTTTGGTTGGAGACAGATCATTTTGCACCCCAAATTTGTTATAAACAAAAACTAAAGCTCTTCTTCAGTATGCACTCAAATTTTGACAAGCAATTTTTTGTATTCTTTCTCGTGTGTCTGAGTCAATTGTACCTCTCCTGAAAGTATGACAGAGATGACAGATGCCTGATATTTAACAGCACCCCATTCATGCATACATGTAAAATAATTGACGTTACTAGACTGAAATGGAGCCCTGGTGATGGTGGAAGAATCAGTTACAGATTACTTGCTGACAAATACTATTGAATGGGTTTTGTTTTTCTGTGAGATAAGTGAGCTAAAATATTTTTTTTTTTTTTGCTTATCGCATTTCCTAGATTTACTACAATGATCTTATATCAACTTTTTTTTACGAAATAATTTTTAAATCATATGAAATGAACAATTATGTTCATCTCCCAAAGAGGAAACCGGCTCAGGAAAAAGGGCAGTAGTGGAACTCTGGTACTCTGAGTCCCAGGCTGGTGTTTTTCGGTCTCTACCACACCTTCTAGAACAATTCCTGAAACAAACTGCTTTTGGCTCCGAAGAACCCTAATAACCACTTAAGGAGGGCAACGAAAATAGCTGAAAGTAAGGAGTCTCTGCTGTGTGCTGTCTAGTCAATTCCGACTCATAGTGACCCTATAGGACAGAGTAGAACTGCCCCATAGGATTTCCTGGGCTGTCATCTTCACTGGAGCAGATCAGGTCTTTTCTCCCTCAGAGTGGCTGGTGGGTTCAAATTGCCAACTTTTCAGTTAGCGGCTGAGCCACTGAACCATTATGTCATCAGGGTTCATCCATCTCCAGCCTGACCTTTGCTCAGGTTCACTGCTGGACGACATGCTTCTCTCCGCTTTAGGTTTAGATGCAAGCTTCTTCCTTACTTATGGTTTCATCAGGGAGAAACTAAATCACACATACAGGGCAGACACCGAATAAAGCAGCCAGTTTTTAAACGCTTTATTGACAGTGCCTTTAACAAGTATCCTCAGTACAGGAATACAATCCAGTTAGCAATCTGCTTTGGTCTCTGAGAAAATGACACACCTCTGAAACCTCACAGAACAGCGTAGCACGCAGACTAGAACTGGTTGGGTGTTCATCTGTTTACAGAACAATCACTGCAAGCAGCGCAGGGCTTTATGAGAGCTTTCACAGCTGCTCCGCAGTCTCAGAACTGCGGACGGGAGAATACAAACACGGAAAGAAATTCCAAGACGACTGCAGTCAAATATTATCCGGGAACCTGCAGGTAGGCGGCACTACATAAAAGTTCAAACCTGGAACAGTGTCATAATCATAGGCTTCAAAATCTGGGCGCTGAAATCTACAATTCACTGTTTTTTTTCACTTACATTACACACATGTAAGCAACTATTACCTGTGCACTGATCCCCAACCCACTTATCTGCAGTCTTACCAGAAAATTTTGTATTAGGTGGTTATTCTGTTTGCTATTCTGTTACTTAAAAGTTTATAACCGACTCTAAGGATTTGAAAATGAATGACAATTGTATACAGAGTTACAGTTTAACAGAAACGTAGTTAACTTGAACTTCTGAGTTAGAAATGAAAAAAAGGTGTTAAGTGACTTTGCTTTAAAAACAACAACAAAAGCACTATGGTATATATATGATAGTTTTTTAACAACTGTTTTAAGACCAAAGGCAACAGATTGACTTTTTAAGAATCAGCTATTTCAGTTCATTAGAGTATATTTCACAGCTGCTACTATGCGTTTGGCACCGACTCCAAACCTATCCAACAATTCACTAGTTTTCCCACTTTGCGGTACTCCTGACACTGCCAGCTGATGAACAAGGATGTCAGGCTCCCCAGAGACCGCTGCACATACAGCTTCCCCGAGCCCACCTTCTCGGCAGTGATCCTCCACTGTGATGACCTGGTTGCCTGTGGCTTTTGCGTTGGAGATGATAGTGCTGGCATCCAGGGGTTTAATGGTAAATGGGTCGATGACACGGATAGAAATACCCTGTTTAGAAAGATCAGCAGCAGCCGCTAACGCTTCGTGTAGAGTAACTCCAGCTCCAATAACTGTGACCTTGTCGTTGACACTCTGGCGGACAACCTTGGCCTGTCCGATCTCAAAGTTTTCTTGCGGGGCATAAATAACTGTAGTTTCTGGTTGGCTTACCCGAATGTAGCACATTCCCTTGGTACTGGCAGCCAGACAAACAGCATGCTCTGTTGAGACGGCGTCACTTGGATAGAAAATGGTGCAGTTGGGCACGCTCCGGAACATAGCGAGGTCTTCCAGGGCCATCTGGGAGGGTCCATCTTCACCAATGCACACCCCGCAGTGGGAACCAGCAAGGTTGATGTTGGTCTGAGAGATGGCTCCCATCCGGATCTGATCGAAAGCTCGGGTCAAATAGGCAGCGAAGGTACTAGCAAAAGCAATGGTTCGACCCCGGGCAGCACATCCCAGTGCCACACTTACCATGTTTTGCTCAGCAATAAAACATTCGATGAACCTCTCAGGGTGCTCCTTCTTGAATAACTCAGAAAAGGTGGAGTTCTTGGTGTCACTATCCAGGACAATCACTCTTCCATTTGCGTGGCCAAGTTTAGCCAGAGCCAAACCATATGCTTTCCGAGTAGCTATCTTGTCGCCAACCCTGTAAGCAGGTGGAGAGGTCATCGTGACACCCGTGATGCTGATCTGAGGTGATTCTTCAGCAGGGGGTTTCGGTACGAGACTCTTGTTGGTCTCTATCTGGCTCTCAATTAATTTGATAATTGCATCTGCTCTGTCTTTTGGCATTGGCTTTCCATGCCAATTTTCGGCGTTCTCAACATTCGGAATACCCCGGCCCTTGAACGTCTTGGCAATTACAGCAGTGGGCTTGTTCTTCACTTGAGCTGCTTGCCAAAATGCCTGGCACAACGCCTCCACATCGTGGCCATCCACTAAGTAAGTGTTCCACCCAAACGCTTCACAGCGCTTCTCATAGACATCTGTGCAGTGCTCAAGGGGTGTGACACCACTTTGTCCCAAGCGGTTCACGTCAAAGATTGCTACCAGATTGTCCAGACCGTAGTGCGAGGCGAAGGACAAGGCCTCCCAGACCGAGCCTTCCGAGGACTCGCCATCTCCCATGAGGCAGAAGACCCGGTAGCTGGCCTTGTCGAAGTACTTGCCGGTGTAAGCCATCCCGCACGCGGCGCCCAGCCCTTGCCCCAGCGATCCGGTTGCCACGTCCACAAACGACAGTCGAGGGGTGGGGTGTCCCTCCAGGTCGCAGTCGATCTTCCTCAAGCTCAGCAGGTCGGATTCGCTGATGCCGCCCGCCTCTGCCCACGCGGCATACAGGACGGGCGCGGCATGGCCCTTGGAGAGGACGAACCGGTCGTTGTCCGGGTGTTCCGGGTCTGTCTGTCTGTACCTCATTGTGTGGAAGAACAGCACGGACACGATCTCCGCGGCGCTGCAGCACGACGTGGGGTGGCCGGAGCCGGAGGCACACGTGGCCCTGATGGAATGGATCCGTAGGCGGTTGGCCACGTCCCGCAGCACCTGCACGGTCTTCCCGTCCGGCACGGCGTCGTCCGCCATGGCGGCCCTGAGGTCTTTCACCGCGGCGGCGCAAACGCCCGCACGCAGCGGCCGCCCCCCACGTGACCCTGCCGCTCGCCCCGCCCCCTTGACGAAATGAGCGCCGCACGGGGAGGTGGCTTTGCTGCGGGGGCGAGGCCACGTGCGGGGCAGGGCGGGGCGGCTTAGGCCTCAAGGGCCGGGATGGGGAGGATACACAGTCCTCACCGGGGCCCCGCCCCTCGCCCCGCCCCTTGAGGAAAGGAGCTCTGCCACGTGTGGGGCGCGGGAGTGGGGGCAGGGGGGACCTTGGCCTCAAGGGCAGGGATGGGGAGGATGCGCAGTCCTCACCTGGGCCTGAGCCCCGCCCCTCGCCCCGCCCCCTGAGGAAATGAGCTTGGCAACCAGTGGTCCCCCACAGCTGGTTTTGGCGCTGGGCCTTCCGGCCGGTGAGGGCTGAGCACCGCCTCTCTCCGTGTGCACAGCGCCCCCTCCCGCCGACTTTTAATGTTTAGCCAGTCACTCATGTTAAACAGGTAGACAAAGTTCTGAAATAAAAAGTAAAGTGTCTTCATGTCTTTCCTCATGCTATAAATTCAAAAGACGACATTCTTGTAATCTATGTATATTCTTTTTTTAATGTATTAACCCAAATACCAAGACATCTTCACTCTTCATGGTAGAGCATCGGTTGAAAGAACCCAAAATCACTTTAACCAGTACAGCAACTTTATCTTGACAGAAACTTTCTGAGTCCAACTGAGAGTTCTTAATCCAAGACTTAATAGATAGAAATGGTAACTGGTTTGATCAAAAGTTAGAGAAAGAACAAATTTACAACCATTCAACGACAGAATAGTAACTGCAATTTTCCCAGTATATCCTAAAATACTGTTACCACAAATAATCATTTTTAAAGCAAAATGTATTTACTTACTTTAATTAAAAAACTAAATTTGTGCCGTTGAGCTCCTCTAGCAGGCAAGGGTTATAAACTGTCATGAAAAACAAATTAATGACAGTGTCCTCTTTCCCATGCTGTGATGTTAAATACTTTGTTCTTGACCAATAATTCTTAACCTTGACTTCACATTAAAATCATAATACTTAAAAAAAAAATGTCAGTGCTTGACATCCAACCGCAGACAAATTGAGTTAGAATACCTGAGGGTAAAGCCTGGGAAACTACATTTTTTTAAATGCATCCTTTTTATTCTAATGCATAGTCAAGGTTAAGAACCAGAAGAGAGAGACTTACATCTGTGGTTCTCAATGGTGGTAGTACATTAGAATCACTTGGGAAGCTTTAAAAATCTCATGTCCATGTCATACTCCAAACCAACTAATTGAGAAGTTCAGGGCGATGGATCAAGCCATCGATTTCAAAAGCTTCTCATACAATTTCAATGTTAGGGCAAGGTTATTAACAACTACCTTAGGGAATAGTGCTACTGTATGTATTGTCTTTTTCATTGTATCTCAGAAAAATATTTTATTTGCTAGTTAAACTATCTCTATCATTTAAATTTTTTAAGGACATACATTAGAATAAACCATAATGGTATCATTCTAACAAGGCTGAAAGAATGCTGAAAGAATATTGGAGTTGGGAAAGTCCTTGAGAGGCCATCTTGTTTTCATCGCTCCCCACTCCCATTGCAAATTAACGTTTCCTTATCTTTTTAGATAAATAAGAAAATGCAGACAGACTAGAGTAGCTGTAAGAGTAAAGAACATGGGAATCAGAGAAAAACATTATCACAGTATCACGATAGTGAAACGGAGCCCTGGTGGCACAGTGGTTGAGAGCTCGGCTGCTAACCAAAAGGTTGGCAGTTCAAATCCACTAGTCGCTCCTCGGAGGCCTTACAGGGCAGCTCTACTCTGTCCTGTAGGGTCACTAGGATGGAATCCACTGGACCGCAACAGGTAGGGGCTGACAGGAAAGCAGTTAATATAAACAAGGTTGTTGTTGTTGTTGTGTGTGTCCTGGAGTTGATTCCAACTGATAGGAGACCCTATAGGACAGAATAGAACTGCCCCAGACAGTTTCCTAGGTTGTAGTCTTTACAGAAGCAGATCGCCAGGTCTTCTCTCCCCAAGAGCGACCGGTGGTCGGAACCACCAACCTTTTGGTTAGCAGCTGAGCACTTAAACATTACACCACCAGGGCTCTTTATTTTGAGGAGAGCACTAATAAATCCAAATACTGTTAAACACGACATTATAAAAATGCTCTGTGAGGCATCGTTCACATGAAAAAAAAAAAAAAGATAGATGAAATAGGAACTACTTAACATTTCTTTCCAAATTCTTCCATTCATTTAAAACATTGCACAACAAGTTATTTCCTAAACTATTAAGCAGAAAGTTTTTAACATTAGTAAAGGTCAATTTTGGTAAGAAAAGAATGTGGTCTTGGAGCTTCAATACCCTAGATAGTAAGAATGAATTTCCCTTCGTCATTCTGTGAGTCTGTGTGGATTTTTTATACTATATGGAAAATAATATTTTGTAAATTATTAGAAAATATAAAGCATC